CCCCCCCCCCCCCCGAAGCAATCGACAACTTTCGATTTGGGTGCTTTCCGAGACAAATGAACCATCGTTTTTCCCACATTGTTAAATCTACTTTTGGGTGCGGAATCGCAAAATCCACATATAAGCGGCATTAAGACGAAGCTCGTAAACAAGACAGTGCTACATCAGTTTAAGATTAAAAACATTCGGTTGGTAGCATCTGTTACAGAAACTCAACTATGCTCACTGAAAACAATTTCTATTTCAAGGGTTGTAATGGGTTATTTATATGGTCTTGATGTGAAAAGTCTACTTAAAAATATCGCCAATGTTCTAAACCATTTTCCAACTTAAATAAAAAGTTATGCATTAATTTAGCAAACGACTTGCAAAAAACCAATTTTGGGGAGGGGTTACAAACAGCCAACCACAAAATGGTAATGGAGACCACAATTTTATGGCTTTCTGTCAGCAGGAGTTGTAAAGTTTCTGCCCTCCTCCATGTACCTGTGCTTTTGTCCAAGAAGCAGGCGAGCGTCAAGACGTACGTCACACACTGCACGCATGAGTCGCAAGCTCTGTAGGGCGAACACCTTTACTCAAGGCTGTGAAGCGACATATTTCTTCTTTGATTGCTTCTTCATGACATCATTTCTGAAGCGATCTTCTTGTTCTAGAAGAGTTTGTGATTGCATACCCAACCATTTTTCGCGTTATGGGACGCCGACTAGTAGTTCCTCCCTTGACAAGCATTCCCCTCTGGTTTTGCTGCATTTAGGACTGCAGATGCCCCACATTTATTGTTGACCAGGTAATCACCACAATCGAAGCTCTGAAGCCAGTCGTAGTAGTTGCAAGCGTCTCCAACATACCGGTACGTCAAGTTTGGTCGGTTATTATAAACAATTTTCTAAAGCCTTTGGCGCCCATACTTAGCAGATTGTTGCAGCAAAATATGACTTCAATCAGTAACTTTTTCCCTTGTATCCATGCAATAAAATTTGCTTAAAATGAATTTTAGAGAAGCATAGTATGAATTGATTTGAATAAAGTTCGAGTTGTTGCTCATAACTGCTCATGTAATTGAAATTGTGTTGGGGCCGCTAGGCATTCGTTTAACGTCGTCATTGAGGTCAAGTCATCGATAAAAAAACTTTACGTTCAGTAGGGCAGTGCCACTTAACGGCGTAGGTGTAGCGAAATTTGGGGCTTGACTTATGCGTTGAGCATCCAAATCGCAGACGAAAGAGTGCGGTTAAAATTGAATATGTGCAGCACTACCTCATGCTTGTTCCAACCACGTGGAGAATTTGGGGCAATTTTTACCAAGGTGACTTCCGGTCCACTACCCCAACCCCTAAGGCGCCTGTATAGGCAAGTACTGCACAACCATAGCTGGGCTCTTATCACCCAAACATATGCATTATGTATGCGTGCGATGACCCTTTTTGTACATGTCGAATCTGCGTGTAGATGATTGTTGAGCGTTTCTCCTGCTCCGAAAACTGCACCGATCAGTGGATTCCAGGCAATTATAATCGTACCGCCTCCACTGTTACCTGCACCTTTCCCGGGGTGAGTGTGGATTCGGTTCCCCCCGTTCACCCTTACCATTAAACTTATTAGTTCAAAGATGACTATCTTCCTGCTGAACCTTAATAAAGCATCAAAGCAGAAGAAACCGTATCTAGACATTTCAAGTGTCGGAAATTTATATTTGCTTAGACGTGTCCGTCTACCCGGATTTTCTTAAAAGATTAGTTATTTTTGAGTAAATAAAGCGTCCTTCAAATATGTAGTTCCTGTGTCATTTGGAGATGTAGATTTGATGTTCCAACATTGGCTAAATCTATAAGCTTACTTTAATCTCTTGACGAATCTTAAAAGATCAGCGCTTTCTGCCTCAATTGTCGCAGATATCCGTTGCCAATGTCATTCGCAGCAGTGAAAATGGCATTGAGTTGGAAGATGTTACTACTTGGCATCACGACTTGTTGAACTTTGCAATGCGGGGAGTTGTAATGTGTGAAATTAGAATCCACTGGCACAACGAACAGTTACCCAACCAACCGAAGCTGGGCCATCCTCTCGTCAATCCCGAGGCTGCATCGCGTAAGATCCCATTTACCTAAAAACCACACTTTTCGAGTTTGCAAAATAACTGCGTTTGCACACACTTGTTTATATCTTTTTGAATCTCTCTAAACTTGTAACATCTTTTTTTTGCAATTAGACCTAATTAGATTTCTTTGTAAAAACGATAGTGCCACTTCGAATATCTGAAGAATCTAATTAGCAAATTAAGTGCCACAAAAGTGACTTTCCCCTAACAGCTTTTTGTACAGCACTTTTTACTGTTTTCTACTTCAATGTGAGTTTGGAATGCACTCATCTGCCAGCCTTAATCTTGTGTGTGATTAACCAAATTCTCTTACGGAGTGTAATTACCCGTGGCTGAGACGTAACTTCCATGCCTGTCTATCAGTGTAGGCCTTTTAACAGCAGTATGCGATTTTTGAACTAGTTTATGCTCCACAAATTCGGGAACACGGATAATGGATTCAAAATGTGAGAATCGGTTTTGCATTCAGTGGTGTAGCAAGGGTAGTTACAGCACCTTTTCTTTAAATCATTTTTTTTGTGAAAGGGTTTGCTGGCTTTGAATGAACAATAATTGTTTTAATGTGAGAAAGACGAGTTCAGTCTATCTGGTAAAGCAATGTCGAGTGCGAAATGGAGAGGGAAGTTCCCAAAAATGATCGAAATACGCAGAGGTCTGGATCATGCCTTTAATCTTGGTTTTGAAGGCTTGAGGCATCAATTCGTTAAAGCACAACAATCAAGTCGCTCCTCAGCAGACTGCGTTGAAATGCTCGCATCTTTGTGACAAGAACACACAATGTCATGCATTTAGCAGGTCCACTTATTTTGTCATTGCAGTGGAAGTCTTTGAGTGCAGTCGGATGGCAGCTCATTGCGACAGCTGCCTAGCGTTACCGCAGCGCTTCGCCTGTGTCTGGTGCTCCAATGTCTCTACACCCACTACCGACTTAGAGAGTACAATGGGCTGCTCGCAAGCTGAGCGCTGTCCTCCTTTCGCTCCTGTTGCCTTCTGCCCCAACCCCCGACTTCTCAAGGTGATTCCTCTTCCTTCTTCACAATTCAAGCTAAAAATATATGTTGGCCACAACTGTGTTTGCAAGGAACCTATAAGGTCAAGCAATAGAATCAAGTCTGAATCAAATTATTTTGTCAACCGAAATCATTGTGGGATATTTTGTCTCTTGCAGCTCTCTGCTTCAAATTGCGGTGTTTGAACTGAATCCTGTATAGTGCTTTCTTCAAAAGACTTAAATTAAGTAAGTGCTGGGCTGCTTACTAAACTAACTATCCAAATTAAAGTTTAATGAGGGTTGTTTAGTTCTCCTGATGGACTGAATCTGGCAAACGGTCAAATTCACGAAAGGCGATTTTGCTCCATAATCTTTCATGTATCTGCTGTTAAAAGAAGTTTGGATTAAACGTTACCCTTGGCAATATGCGCAGCACTGTTAGTGCTTCTAAGGCTACTGATAAATAACTTTTACAATGGTTTGCATTGTTTTTGCATTGAAAAATGCAAGGCTAGAATCGATGTTCTCTGCGTCTCCTCTGATGACGATTTTCTTGGAATTTTTTAGGTCATACCGGAAAATGCAACACTCAGTGGTCAGACGGCACTCACCATCCGTGGCATTAATTTGGGAAGCGAGCCAAAAGACTTGGAGATCGCTGCGGTTTTTGAAGACTCAAGTCTAGGGTCGATTGCCTGTACCATTCTACCCAAGGACTTCCAGCCATCAAGACAGGTTACTTGTCGTCTGCAGCCTATGTGGCTAAGGACTAAGCAAACAGAGGGTCCGCTCAAATGCCATATTGCTCTTCGCTCGAGAAAGTCACATGCGCAAGTGGGTGTTACGTCCTTCTTTCCACTTATTTGAAGTCAACGTCATGCAGTTACTTTCTTTGCTTTTAGACCACTTCCCTTCCCTTTACTTTCTTCTCTCCGAAAATTGAGAGCTTTAGTCCACAAAAGGGTCCAATTGCTGGCGGTACAATGTTAAGAATCTATGGTAGAGACCTCAATGTTGGCGCATTCGTAACAGTTGTTCTTGTTCTGAGAGTGATTGGAGAACAGAGTAATGTGGAATGCGAAGTAACATAGTAAGTGTATCTCCCGTTGCTAATGTGAGCTAACTTCCATCTACCTTAGTGTTTCCGCAGACATCATAACATGTCGAACCAAAGCCGTTGATCCCACTCTACTACCGTTTGGGTCAGAACCCGAGAGCGGTGCAGATGATGGGATTCCTTCTTCTGTGACCTTGTTTCACGACGAAACTTCAACTAGGGCACTCCTTCAGACATATGTATACAAACCAGATCCTACAATCAGAACAGTATCAAAATCATTAGTCTTCTTCAGGTGAATGGCTCAAGTCTCTTGTGATTAATTTTATTGTAAGCCCTATCCCAAGTTTATTCTTTTCGACTTAGTGGTGGAACAAATATCTACGTGTACGGTCAAAATCTAGACGTAATTGAAAGTCCTCAGATTGTCTTCTACTACAATGGAATGGAGTTTGTCGAAGTAATGGCCTTATTACGTTACGACCCAGGCTGCCTATTTTGTTCCCTAATTTGCAAAAATTCCATGCTTACTGTAGGCCTGCCAATACGAATACGTGTGCCTTTGCTGTGTGAGTCCAGCCCTCACCCTTGACGAACGCAGCAAAAGGGCTGTTGAGGCTCACTCCACCACGATTGTTCGTCCCATCACCAATCCATCCATCATTCCCAAAATTCGTTCATTTGAGCATGATGACGATAATTCCGATGATCTTGGCAAACCAAATAGCGCCATTTTCGTACCATACGGATTCATCATGGACAACGTAACTGATGTACTCGTGTTTGGTGTATTTTCGGTAAGACTTCACCTGCCACGGCAGTTGTTAGTTAGGCACGCACTTTATGTAACTGAGAACTTATAAGAGGCCATTATTAAGCACGCCACAATTTGTTATAACCTCAGTACTAAATATCCTTTTCGACGGCGAAGCAAAGAAGGCAACAATTCCTTATGTTCCCTTATGGTTTTACTGTTTGTTAAGGTCTTCTCGAATCCTGAAGTCTTTCCATTTGCCGAAGGTCGTCTTATAGAGTCGTTTCCACCTCGCGCGTTTTCTGCAGCTTCCAAGGAAACATCTGTTTCCCCTACAGGCGGAAGGGTAGCAGAAGGGGATCACTTGGAATCAAATATAAATTCAGAGAACTCACCATCTGTACAAGATCGTCACTTGCTCCGTTTTCATGGCAACTTTGAAGCTTTGGTCAATGCATCAAATTTGCAGGCTCTTGAAGAGCTCTCAATAATCGTCGTCACTGAGATCTCGGAAAACGAGACTAACAGGACTTGCAAACCAATAGTTTTGAAGGCTGATGAAATTCGTTGTGAAGTAAGCTTGAACGATCTTATGGAGGAGAAGGATTATCCAATCATAATTCAAGTGAGTCCATGCCTATTTTTTATCGGCTTGGTTTTGTGCAATACTTGACCACGTTTTCCTTGGCGCATTTAAGTTTGGTAGGTACTTGAGGTTCCGCCCAGGTGTGGTGCAATTCAAACGTCTTGGAGGATTGGGTGGACGAGACCGTGCAGTCATCGTGGCCAGCTCACTGATGGGCGTCGTCACTCTCGTTGCCTGCCTGTTCCTCGCCATGTGGTGCCGCTCCAGACGCACCGAGCGCGACCTCGAGAAGCGCTTCCAGATCCGCTGGGCAGAGCAGGAAAAATGTGTCGCTCGCGCTTTCAAAAATGGTGCGCCTTCACATCTCCTCCGTTCTTTTACGAATTCTGCTTACATTTGCAATGCTTTATTTATTTCTGGAGGTATTATGCTTGGCATTGGTCTCAACTTGGTGGAGTGCAGAGCAATTCATCATAAAAATTCATTTTGAAGTGCGGTGTGCAATATTCCAAAGCAAAGATTTTTATCCTCAAATCACACCTAAGTTATCTATAAGTGCACTTGCGAGCAGCTTATCCGTTGTGTTCTTTCGCTTTTTACCTCATTTTTGTTCACCCATTCATCTTGTGCATTTTTTATTCCTTAAAACCCAAAAGCGTAGTACTTTCTTATGTTGCTCTCCCTTAATAGGACTAGTGTGAATGTGGTTTTGCACTGTACATAAAATCATTCTCCCAACCTGGTCGCAGTTGCATTTGCACGGAATACGTGATGATGTAGTGTCATGAGCCAGTACAATTTTCACGCAATTCTACGTCCTCAATCGACTTCCAAAGCTTAATGTCTGGACTATTATTGCAAATAAGGGCAACAAACTTAGAGTACCTTTCTACGCATTTTGCTCATTTACTTTCCAATGCTAGTTCTTCACTTATACTATCACCATCGCATTCGGATGGTTAAACGATTGATCCTTCTGATAGCGTTTATTGTATGTGCTAGATTTCATTGAACTGCAGACACACGTGGAGGAGTTGGTGCAGGATCTGAACAGGAACAGTCTACCCATAAGGGACTACCAGACGTACTGCCTCTTTTCTCTCTTTCCTGAGTATCATCTGAGTCTAGTGCGGCCCTCCGATCCACACGATATGCCGCCACACACCACTAGACCGCGTTCAGACAGCCTTGAGGATGTCTCCAGCCCTACTTTGCCTCCTCATCCTCTGGTCTCCGTCTTTAAGGTGGTCACAACTCTCCATCAATGTTTCCTCTGTTACTAACAGACACTAGCATATCGAGAATGGTTTATTGCTTACCATTAAGACTAGGCTATTTTGTGTGATGTCGAAACGGTTGATTTTTTGTGGTACAACTTAAATGGTTGCTCTTTTCCATGATAGAGCATGATCACATTATGTTAATCCCTAATAATTCTTGCATAAAGGCTATTTTCCAGTATTTTTTGAGCAACTGCCGAAAGTAGAGAAGCTTTAACCAGAATCAACACCCATTTGACGAAATGCTTTCAGCGGTTTTGGACATTTAATAATTCCAGTCAAAACAATTGACCCACTTCGCTTACTCGATTCTTGGTACTCTTGGTATACTTAGCACTGATTATGAGAGAAACGGTGAAGTGCGCTTTACATTTGTCCCATACATTAAGTGCAAATCTGTGAATTGGTGTTGGTTAATTTGGTTAGATACGTAACTTACTTATATTGCCCTTTCTCTCAATCCCAACCGATCAGCTCGTCATCTGACAATCACTCGTATTTACCACCTCGTAACAATAGGTACCAGCGAACGTCCAAGAGGTCGCAGATCGAGGTATATTCCTATTTAACCGACTTCTTCACAATCATCACTTCCTCTCCCTCCTTGTCCATGCGGTCGAGGCTAATCGGAATATCGATGCGCGCGCTAAGTCTCAAATAGCCTCACTCCTTTCCATAATCCTGCATCCAGACATGGAATACTTCACTCAGTGAGCTACAACTGCTACTTATTTTAACGAGTAGAAAGAGCTATTACAGAATCGCATACTGCTATATGATATGCTATGCTTTCCAGGATAATTCTCTCACTAATCACCGATCTTCTACGGAAGTCGCGTGACCATGGAGGCGACGGTCGACTGTTGACAGCCTTCCGACGAGCCGAGTCGGTGATTGCGAAAATGCTCTCCAATTGGTTCACCTTTCTTCTCTACAACTTTATCAGGGAGCACGCCGCCGAACACCTTTTCATTCTCTATCGTGCACTTCGACAACAGATCAACACAGGGCCTTGCGACGCCGTTACCGGCCTTGCTCGTTACACCCTCGACGCCGCAACTCTACTCAAAAGCGATCTACTTTCTCGACCCATCGTCAGTTTATATTTTCTCCAGTTTGACCTTATTAGTGTCATCTACGATGCTTGAATTATCAATTTTATCTAATCTATAGATGGCGTATTCGATTTGATCAACTGTAGGGTCTCAGTGGAAAGGTCATGATGAAGGGCACTGAGATACTGGAATGCTTCGTAAGGCAACGGTCTGTCTTTTTAGATCCTTTTGGTCGTTGATCCAGAGGGTCTGTTTGGTCCACTCTGCCCCTCAAATATGGCAGTGCATGTGCTCTCCTGCGATACCGTAACCCAGGCGAAGGAGAAGATACTGGACGCAATCTATCGAAACACACCCTATAAAAGCCAGCTCCGTCCAACGGATGTTCATCTGAGTAGGTTGGCAGCTTTATTGAATAATCTCCACTGCTAAGTCTATGTGTAGCCTTTGAAGCTTACATATTCTTCATACATTTTTAAGGTACTTTAACTAAATTAGCAGTTCGTATTCCTACAGCAGTTGCACCAAAACTGGAACCAATCGAGAGGAAAGTAGTTGAGCAAAATATGGAACTTAGGAGGGGAAGGTATCATCATTCATGATGAATGTTTTTTTGTTTATCTCTCAAGTGGTAACATAAAAGCATGTAAACTTAATCATCTGTATTTGCTTGATTGTAGAAAGGGTCGCCCATGCTTTTGACGGTGACATCAAATGTAAGTTTATGAACTTCTGAACGTGTCGTCTATTCTACTAAGACTGAGGTAATTTGACTGGTTGATGATGAACCGTTTTTTGCCTTGCTTCTTCACACAAAGTACAAATAGGGTGTCAAAGCGTATTCCATCCTTACTCTGTACTATAACCATGAAGTTTTTCATTTCTCTCAAAAATCTCACTAAAGGTGATTGCGTCTACTCTTTACATTTATGACCTAAAATAGGCATGGCTATTTGCAATGTGTATTTTCCAACTTTAACATGGTTGAATCATTCTTCTCAATGAAGATCCAGGATCTTTGGAGAAAACTGCCGATTTGCTCATGATGGATTGGGACTTGGACGTGAGACGGGATGCTACGAATGCTTCGATCGAAGGTCCGCCCTATCGGCTTAACTGCCTGAGCGATTATAAGGTATGCATCGTTCGTTTTTCGTTCATGGAAAGTTTGACATGCTGTATCATTCGCATTTTTAATGCGTTAATCCAAATGTTTTCATTAATCGCTACTATCATAATCTTTTTTCACAGTTAGGGATGGATGAACATCATAGCCCTGTTTGACTAAAAGAGCTACTAGTAATTGTTGTGAGCTTGAAATGGAATAGTACCAGATTTTAAGAGAGTCATCTGGGCCACAGATGACTGATAACGACGTGGTGGCGCTGGTGCGCGCCAGGGAGCCCTCGCCTCTCACTAACGGAGGCGGCACGTTGCCTGCTGCCGGGTCCAGGATGGTCTACGGTTGCACATCTCCCAGTGGGAGCCTCCCTTTGCTCTTACACCAACCATTATATTCAGCATCCCTCCCCAACAGCCGTCAGCAGACTTCCTTTAACATGCGCCCCACCGGAGGTCCCAGCGCTCTTCTCTGGTACCACCTTGAAAGGCCCACTAACGTAGACTCGCAGGTATTTTTCTTTATTAGTAAGAAGATTACTTTACGCTAGATGACACACGATTTCTTCTAGCTCTTCAGATAAT